GGAAATATCGCACCAGAAGCAAGCATTTTTACTATTTAACAGTTTTTATAAGAGTTACTTGAAATTATTATTATTTTTTTATGATCCCAAGTACCAAATAATTTTGCAACAAGGGAGCAGCATTACATTTGAAGAATACGAAAAAATTTAACAACAGAGGTGATACATTTATTTTTCTTTATTATTTTAGAATACTCACGATTTACAGTTATTAAATAATTTAGGTAGGTAGGTAGCTCAAGAAACTATGGATCTCATTGCCTTTAGTACAATAATTGTTATAGCATAAGGCTCTTCTTTGGTTATAAGAACTCTATAGATTCTATATTTTTCTACTTATAACTATTATGTGTTTAATAGAAGTTTTACTATAATTGTCTATTTGTTTTTTTTTTCAAGTTAATTTCCTATTCAATATTCACAAAATGTTGCCCTAATACTATCCTCCTTAGTAACCAATATATGGATTGGGTAATATTTTAAAGTTTGTCTACAAATAGAAGAATTTATTGTTTTATACTTGTTTATACCTACCTATTAAACCGGAAGTAGCATATACAGTATGATTGAAAAAAAATCAACACTTCAGGTATTTTACCTCTTAATTTTTTTCAAATATTCAATATCTTAATCCACATTAGTGTCCCTACTATCGATTACACTGGTTATAGGGTTGCGTGGAAGTCTGGTATATAAATTCATTTTTTAAAAAAAGCTAAATTTTTAAAGAAATCGCTCGAACACGTCGATTTTGTTTTTTTTTATGTTAGACATTTTTTCATATATGTATTTGTTAAAAAGATCAAAGAAGGTACCTACCACCAAATTGCTAACCCATAAAACATCGACGTGTGAGAGCGATTTCTTCAAAAATTCGGCGTTTTTTTAAATAATGATTTTTTTCAGACTTTCGCGCAATCCTGTAAGATAATACTCAAAATTTTGAGTTATAAGTTAATCAATATTGAGTCAATTTGTTACACAATAATGAGTCAAACTCTACTCAGAAGAAACTCAATTTTTAGTTGAAAAGTAATCAAAATTGATTATGAATTAATCAAAATTTCGTATGCAAGGATAGCTCAACCTTGGAATTTACACGCTTTTGATTTAAAATCCCTCAAATTTGGGTGAATAAGTACTCAAATATGATTTATAATTTAACACATTCAAGTGTAATTAGTACTCAAAAATATTGAGTTAATTTTTAACGCAATCCGGGAGGACCTGTTTGGACAAAGTTTTAAGTTAATTTTGAGTTGATTTTCACTCAAAATTTTTTACCCTGCAGGACCATGAAAATCTTTATGCATGGGGTAATTTGTTCGATTTTTTCTCGCTAGAGGCAGCAGCGTCTTCTACTCGCTAGGTGGCTGCAAAGATGTGGCTGTGTCAACGACCAAGTTCTCAAGAGCATAATTTATTCATAGCTTGCACTATTCGTTTTAAATTTTTTGTTCAATACCTATCGTTAATTAAATTATTGCAAAAATAAAAGTGGGACTAAATTCAGGACTATGTTATTAAACTAAAAATGGGTGTTCCGGTTAAATCTGTTTCGGATGTTTGACAGTTCAAGTGCTCAAGAACTTCATAAATTACTCTATGGTCGGGAGTAGTTGGGACGATTTCTCGAACTATTAATTTTTGTTCTGACGTCGAGGTTAGATTAAATAACAAATTTCCATATTTATTTTGCTTGTGTCTGTATTTTAAGTGGTTCTGTTATTATTATTTAGAAAGGAAGTGCTCCGGACACCAGGGCCGTGGCGCCATCTATTAGCAGTGAGTTATGGGAGTGACATTTTATCGTTTTGACATTTATTGAATAAACAATTAGGCAATTCGAATCAGCTGATAATTCAATATGGCGACATGGGCATAACAACAAACTTGACGCCCGTGAAGGTTCATTAACATTCAATTCCAATGGCATGTAATATTGACAGTTGAGTTGAAGAGGGCGCTTTTGTACTTGGAGTTTTTTAAAGGACCTCGCACACCTTAGGTATATGGAATTTCGGCGATTGGTCGTTTTTTTTTTTCAAATTTTGATATGTTGTAGAGAATTTAATTCTTAAAAATCTTTGAATGGGTCAAAATATTGTAGGTATCACGATCTCTGAGATATGAGCATTGAAAGATGAACTTTTTTGCGACTTTTTGTGTGGAGAGTATACGAAATACTGGTGTTTATCAGTCAAAATATTGAAAAGTTCACATATTTTGCGTCACTAACAAATGTCAACATGGGCTAAGGCTGGGACCGCACTGGCGCCAACATTGGCTCCCGTGCGGTCCCGGCCTTAGCCTATGTTGACAATTTGTTAGTGTCGTTAGTGACGTAAAATCTTTGAATATAAAACTACAGGAAGGAGCATAACTTCGGAATTGCGCGACCAAAATATGTGGAGGTTGCATATGGCCGACTAGTATTTCCGGTTTGGCAGTGGCGTATATTTATTTAAATATGATTGTCAATATTATGACGCACTCTTTTCGCACTAATCCCAATGCTTATTATCACTTAAAACCTCTGAAATCCATTAAACATCCACTTGAATGAGGACACAGCGAACCACCAAAACAAATGATGAGTCCATACTTGGATGCTCAATATGGCCGTTTCCGTCCCTGCGTTGTCTGTAGTGACAGATAGAAAACGCTCCTTCCTGTAGTTTTATATTCAAAGCGTAAAATATGTAAACCTGTCAATATTTTGACTGATAAACACCAGTAGCACCAGTATTTCGTATACTCTCCACACAAAAAGTCGCAAAAAAGTTCATCTTTCAACGCTTCACATCTCAAAGATCGTAATACCAACAAGATTTCGTTCCATTTAAAGGTTGTTCAGAATTAAATCCTCTACAACATATCAAAATTTGAAAAAAATCGACCGATCGCCGAAATCCCATATAAGGTGTGCGAGGTCCTTTTGGTGCGTAAATAATCGATTGTAATTTTAACCTCAAACGTTAAGTTTCATGTGTGGTTTAAAGACAAGCTGACGCTGCCACTTTAGAAAATATCCTCTAAGGGCCACTGAACGCTTTGGAAGATATTTTAACTTATTCATTGTCGATTGTTCATATGTAGTCATCTTTCCTTCTACTCAATTTAAGAAGTTTAAATTATTGACATTTACCGCCAAAATTTGAAGCACTCCAAGTTCACTCGCGCCCTCAACAAAATTTTGGGGAGCTTAACTAGATATTAGCTGCCATTGATTGCAATTTGAATAAAAATTGAATGTAAACGTGCCCTTACGATTGTCATGTCTGCGTTATTCCCACGGCGACAAAACTCGAATTTTCGTGACGAATGTAATTCATCAATAGTTCGTCTTGTGACGTCATGAGATTGAACGCTTGTTAGAAGCTGCGTCCATGTTTCCGGCGAACTACGTTTAACATGACGTCATGAGTTTCTCGCGAAAGCGTTTGTGTTCATCAAATCATGGAAGTAGTTCGTCGCAAAAATTCGGTTGAAAATAAAACAAAGTCCCAAATTATAGTTGTGAAAGGTAATATTGCAGTCGCCTGAATATAAAACGGGTTGTATGTCATTAGGCCCTGCGAAGGTCTTTTTGTGCTTCGCTCGATCAAACGTCGAGCTCAGCACAAAAAGACCCACTTCTTGGCCTAATGATTGGAGATTGGAGGTGGACTACAAATTGAAAATTATCGTCAAAAAAGACATTTTGTGTAATATATTTCTTTTATTTACGACTAATGTATAATGTGCGTATTATATTTGTGATTTTGGCAGTATAATGACATATGTTATTCCTCCAGGGATTAATGACGAGTAGCGGGATTAATGGTCATTATTCCACAAAAGTGTCAGTGTCAAACGTGTAGTGCTTGTGTATTTGTATTGAAAATTATGAGACGGATGAAATTTGTTCATTGAAAATCTCAAATAAATTAATTTGTCGTAAATAAAGTAGAGTATACTACTCGGAATAATGGCTATTATTCCCTCGGAATGTTACTCCCTCGCCGCTAACGCGGCTCAGTTCGTAATAATCCTCGGGAATAATAGCTATCATTATTGACTCGTGGTATAATCTACTATTACTGTAGAGAATTACAAAATACCTACATTACCTTTTATATTTCCAAACAAAAATAGGTATATTCCGTAATTAAGATGTACCTATTTTATTATTATTTATTCAAATTACGTGTTTTCAAGTAGCATGATCTACCCATAAATTGTACCTACGTGACAATCCCATATAAATAGGATTTGGACGAGATCGACGTTTGTTTGTTAATCAGTTTAGTTTAATCGGAATATGAAAAAACGAAAGCGTACTTTTTTTATTGTGGCGGAACCAACATCCGACGACAAAAAATGGGATTCCCTGAAGATAAAATGCATGACTAACGACGGTTTTTATGTCTGTACCTACCAATTGTTTAAATACAAACTTTTTCAAGGCCTTAAAATTGAAAAATGATGAAAATGCCTTTCAACCCCTTTCGGGTTTGTAGTCCTCTACTACAATACAAACTCACTGAAAATTTCAGCTATCTATGAAATTATGATTTTTCAAAGGACCTCCCAAACTCCATAGTAAATTATTGTGAGATATGAAGCCGAAATTTATCACCAAAGGTAGTTCCTCTTTCAGATGCCCCATTGTTCTAACTTTACATGGCGGCGCGGAAGTACAATTATAATAATTATACAACAGTAATTATTCTTGGTATAAATATAGGAAGGATATACCTATGCAAACCATTGAAAAGCACGTTTTTTAATTTATCAAGGACCAAAATTCACAGAATTTTTAACGACAAATTTCAATCGAATCTTAGAAATGTCAATTTCTAAAAATCCATCCGGCTTCCAAATCCTTTAAACCGTTTTATGGCGCGATGATTTAGAAAAAACAACCGAGAATCCTCTATACTAAGTAACCTTCGGGCCAAGCCAAGTCAACCAAGCTCGAAATGAATCTGAATCCGAATTTAAGTCAGTCTTGGCTTGTACGTGTCCGTGTACCGGTTTTAACTTTAAAGTACCAGCGTTGTTAACAATTTTGTTATTGTGTCGCGGCTCGAAATCATAATAATTATTTCACAATGATACATTTTTTGGCATTAGGTAACTCAATAGACGCCAGTATCATTGATAAGATATCAGTTTCGTCCAGAAGATAAACGCGACAGGTTGTACCTACCTGTTTCGAGATTTTTCTGAGAAATATGGGCAAATATTTTTTTATTAGTATTGTGGAATAGATTAATCTCAGTTGATTCAGTGTGGTAGAGTTAATTGTGAACATAAAATATAGTATAGTACAAAGTTGCCGGTTTAATGAATGATTCATCACATATAAAAATGAATATGCCCAGTACTATCTTTTTTTTGTGTTTGTGCTTTAATTTCAGCCTGCAGTTTGATAATAATTCATCAGCATTGGTAAGAAATTCAAAAATTATTTCAAAAACAAATTTTTCATCAGTAGTACTATAAACCAGTTCAAATATCAATAATTGAGAAATATATCTCCAATTTAATTGAGTAATCACGTCAAACATTGAATGTATTATACCTAGGTGTTGGTTGGCCGTAAGCCAAAATCAGTTTCCTATCAACATAAAATAATATTATATGTCTGGATGAATTGTGAAGGTTAATTTAACCCACTATGATAATTGAGAAAAAAATTAACCTGTTTGAAAATTACTATGATGTTTTTTTGTATTCCATTTTGCTTGTTGATACCTTATCAAGTTACATATTGTTTTGGCCCTGAGAATAACTTCTACCATAATGCTGATTTTTCACTGTCAATACCTGGGTAATCGATGAAATAAATAAACAAATATTGACTTCACACGCAAAGTTTATGCCGATTACACATACCTGCCAATAGATAAACACAGGAATCTTAGAATAGAAAACTGAACTGAATTGTTTACACAGATTGAATAAAATGTGTTAACGTTGGAATGGGGGAGATAAAATGAAATGCTTGCTTGCTGCTGCTTATCATGAAGCAAATAATTATTGCCTGTTCCAAAATAATGCGGCACCTATTGATAAACTTGATGAGTCAGAAAGGTCAGAAACCATAAAGAATCAAAAACTTAAATCAACTATCCAGGCGATAGAAATAAACCTGCTAAATTGTAATTTTTATTTTGTTCAAGCAAGGAGATCTAGGGTCCAATATCATCATATATCTAAAATTTACTTTATGGATTTTAGGTTATTATTATTGTTATTATGAACAATATCTAAAATTTACCACAAAACCTCTCTCCATCAAAAAATCAAGACAAAATGGTCTACATATAGAGTGGGTCAATTATAATATTTGGAGCTATGAATATTAGTCATCATCACTGTTACCATTTTTTCTTTCTAATTTAAAGTTACTTAACAAAAACAATCCGTTTGAAGAACCATTATAAATATTCATTATGCACCTAGTTACTTCTATTTTGCATCCACTTGAAATTACCTTCGGCGCACTTAGAAATAGACATAAATAATTTCTAAAAACAAGTTTAATTGCAGGAAACGTGATATTATGTTGACTATTGCATGAAATATGTCCTGTTTCTGATTTGTTTTTTACACATTATTGTAAAATTATTTATTGTACACATTTTCTAAGTAATAGGCAATAGGTAGGTACTTAGAAATCTTAAAAAGAGTGACCTTAAAGAAAATTATACAGATTGCTATCCTCCCATCACGATGAAAATAATAATTAAAGTAATTTGTTTTTCAATGACAGACAGCAGAAAAAACTCTAGATTGTGTAAGTGAAGAACAACAATACCTACGTGTTTTATATCCTAATAAAAAAAAAACATGATAATTCGATAATTGTAAGATTTTCACTCAGCACTAGGTACTAATAGTGAAAACTACTTTGACATCTTGATTTATATTATTATTTACCTGAAAATTTAATAATCTAATTATATATTTATATAATTACATGTGAATTATATCGAATAGTCATTTTTTTTTAATGATCTTTATAAGTAGGGTGATTTTTTTATATCATTACCATGAGAAATATTGAGAAAACTTGAAATCTGAACTTTCAAATACAACAAATTTTATTTTGGGATTAGTTTATGATTAGGTAGGATCGACAGCATCCACCACTTCCTATACTTCTTCAACGGAGAGGTAAACCGCCAATGTTTTCCAGCTCGTTTTCCAGTGTACAAGCATCATATATCCTTATTTTCTCATGTAATCCAATGTATTCTTATGTATGCCATATGCATTTCTTTGTATTCTCATGTATGAAGAGGAAATACTCATTGGATTTGAACGATTTCTCCAATAAATTCACCCAAGCTGATATTACAGAAAAATCTCCTTATGTTACGTTAAAGCTAAAGGAAAAATATGTAATTAGAAAGTCCTTGTTCTGCTGGCTTCTAGATGACTCCTTAGGCAAAGTAAGACAGGCAGACTCTGAAGATTTTATTCCAGCAGTAGAACTCTGCCTAAATTCAGACCACCTAGCCGCACCAACAAAACCTAGACAAGAAATCCTAAAAAAGGAATAAAAAGAAATTCGAAAATTTTGAAGGAACAGAATTTACATTGAGCTCTACATCTACATCCGAGTCTACATCTGAGGATGAAGTATAAATGAAGTATGTAGCTGACGATTCTTCAGATGGCGAAATGAATTCAGAAACTCAAGATTTTGACCTTAGATTCGGCACTCCACATCCCAACTAACATTTTTCGCTGCTCAAGGTTTTATCATGAGGTAACGGATATTTATAAGGGGGTTATAAGAAACCTTTATTTTTATAATGGTTTTTATAGTTTTATAAGAACACCATTGGTGTTACAAGTTTTGTAAGATGTCCAATAAATACCAAAATACTTTAAGTTTTATAATTTGGTATCGAAAACGTTTCTGTTACTTTATCTATAAAACCTTTGGTGTTTGGTGCTTCTGGTTTTTTCAAAAAGGTTTTATAGCGTTCTTTAAAACCTTATTATAAAACTTTGACTCTTGGAGTTTTATAGCTTACTCCGTAAAACCCTTATAAATCTCGAAGCAGCTAATAAATATTCTACACCAATTAATAAACCTGAAGAACGGTATAAAACTTATAGGCCCATTAGGCGGTTACACACGGACGTGGATGTCTGAAAACATGTACGTACATACATGAACGGGCAACCAAAAATATCAATAGGCGGTTACACACGGACGTGGATGTCTGAAAACATGTACGCACATACATGAACTCGCAAACAAAAACATCAATGTGTATGCAAAATACCGTCGCGTTTCTGAATGTGCAAACTGTAGAATGACGCTCAAATGAATTTTGGCATCGCTAGAAATTTTGAATGCACACTCGAAATACTGTAGCAGGAGTAGCAAGACTGCAGTTTTGTGCAAGCGTCTGTACAAAGGTGACATGCACGTTGTTGTTTGCACGTTGATGTATGCACGTATATGTATCAAGGGTCTAAGGTATCAAGCCATCCACGTCCGTGTGTAACCGCCTAATGTGTATGCAAAATACCGTCGCATTTTGGAATGTGCAAGCGGTAGAAATTTTGTATGCTCACTCGTAACACTGTAGCAAAAGTAGCAAGACTGCAGTTTTGATAGTTTTGTGTGAGCGTCTGTACAAAGACCCCATGCACGTTGTTGTATGCACGTTGATGTATGCACGTATATGTATCAAGCCATCCACGTCCGTGTGTAACCGCCTATTAACAACTTTTTTACGTGAAGGAGAGGCCGCTATGTTATATGGTGTTTATTAATAATTATTGTTTTCCTAAATAAAAAAATGTGTCACAAGCTAAGAAAGAATGGTAGAAATTGAATACAGTAGCAGCTTTTATAGAAAGTGTGCTAAAACCCGTGACAATATTTGGCGAAGTGAACCAGGCGATAAATATTCCAAAAGTCCAAATAATCTAAAAGAAATAGACCAAAAATTTGGATTTCCAACACGACAATATTATATTGGCACAGAACAGAAGCATATTACAATAATCCGATTTAAGAGACAATGATCTGTTTTCTCAAATATAAGTTCAATAATTAAAGGCCCTTTTTTCTAATAAAACAACAACTGAAAGTGAAGTTATGAATGCATGTTTCACATTTGACAATTTGTCATTTGCGCACTAATAGTTTTCAATGGGTTTTTCAGTTGCTTTTAGTTTTATACCGGTTACGAAGGCTTTTGTGCATACCTTTTTGACCTATAAACCTATAAGTATCACAAAATCACCTTAGGTTTTATTCTCGGTTTTATTGCAACAGAAATATTCCCATAAGACACCTAGGTTAGTATTATAAAAGTTTCCAAGGTATTGAATCCCTTGAAGGCCCATATGAAACTATAGGTTTTTGGAAGGCAAACCTGGCGAACATGGCGTCCTTTTATATGGCGGCCATTTTTATGTTTTTTCGAATTGACATGAATATCTACGTAAAGAAGATGGAATATCGCATTTTACGCAATATTACTGAACTTGAAGACATGTTTCTTCAAAAATATGCGTTCAATAAATGTTCTGAATTTTAATTGCAAGAAAAAAAAAAAACATGAGACATAATTTTAATTTCCAGGTTTTTGCTAAAAATAAGTTTTAAAGTGCTCAAAACGAGGGCGCTTCGATTTTAGGAAGGGTAAAATATAAAACATAAAATTATTCGATACATTTTTCGTGCCAAATAAAATTAAGTCGTCATAGGAAAATTTCAGAGTTCAATATTTAGTGTAGGTATAAAACATTTTCATAATAATAACAAAACAAGAATCCATTGCTGTCAACTTCAAAGTGAAAGCAAAATATTAATGGAAGGATTAGACTCGAAATAATAGTTATTTATGTACCTAGGTCAAAAAGTACAGCTTTAACGCCCGCAGCGTGTGTAACAGCCTGAGGCGTTAGCCGAGGGCTGTTTACACGCTGAGGGCGTTAAAGCTCTTTTTGACTGAGGTGCATACAAGATTTTATGCACGATGAGCATGTTTTCATTTTGATATTTAAAAAATTATATATTTTCAATTTTGTAATGACATCAATCAAAAATATTTCAAAATATAAATTTTCATCTTTATTGCAATAGGTCTTAAGTTTTTGTCAAATTTAGATCAAGGAAGCAGTTGTTGACAAAAGTATCACGTAACTATTATAGCAACCCAGAACAATACAAACAAATAATTATGTGCTGTGTAGTGTACGTGTATGGTATTCTTATGATGGTAGTGCGTCTGAAAATACAGCAAAATAGCATGCCCAAGTTTATTCTTGAGGCAGTTGAAGAGGCCAAGAAACATGTATACCTCCAAAGTCCAAAAGACTCTATGAAAAAACATATGAGGACTTTATTTCCTGATGTGCCCAACATAGTGTAAATGAGCAGCAGTACTTTGTAGAAGAAACTCTCCTGGCCT